GGCAAAGCAAAGATGTGGATGGATAATAGGTCATTCTTAGTTCGGCTCCTGATATGTTTCTCTGTGCTGTTGCTTGATTGAGTGAAATGTCATATTGTCACTGATTAATGGTGTATGTAACAGATTGGCAATTAGTGGAGAAAGGGTATGACTTGCCAGTGTAGGACTATACATGCCCCTTGTGTTTACATATACCGTGACTATACACATACCGTGACTGTACACACACCTTGACTATATACATCCCTTGACTAAACACACACCTTGACTATACACATCCCTTGACTATACACATATATTGACTATACACATACCTTGATTAAACACATACCTTGACTAAACGCACACCTTGACTAAACACATCCCTTGATTATACACATCCCTTGACTAAACACATCCCTTGACTATACACATCCCTTGACTAAACACACACCTTGACCATACACATACATTGACTATACACATACCTTGATTAAACACATACCTTGACTAAACACACACCTTGACTATACACATACCTTGACTATGCACACACCTTGACTATACACACCCCTTGACTAAACACACACCTTGACTATGCACACACCTTGACTATACACATCCCTTGACTGTACACACACCTTGACTATACACATCCCTTGACTAAACACACACCTTGACTATACACATCCCTTGACTAAACATACACCTTGACTATACACACACCTTGACTATACACATCCCTTGACTAAACACTCACCTTGACTATACACATCCCTTGACTAAACACACACCTTGACTATACACTCACCTTTACTATACACATCACCTTGACTAAATGCACACCTTGACTGTACACATCCCATGACTATACACACTCCTTGACTATACACACCTTGACTATACACATCCCTTGACTATACACACACCTTGACTATACACTCACCTTGACTATACACACACCTTGACTATACACATCCCTTGACTATGCACTCACCTTGACTATACACATCCCTTGACTATGCACATACCTTGACTATACATACACCTTGACTATACACAAAACCTGACTATACACATCCCTTGTGTGTGTATAGACAAGGGATCTCCACTTTAAGCCCTTTCAGCATGGAGATGACTGGAGATACTGGCATACATGGTTAATTGATACAAATGTTACAGAAAATCTGCTCTCAGCAGAGATTTCTGTAGTTGGGTGGGCCATAGCTGTTTTTTCTTAGTTGAGACAAGTTTATTGTTTTATATTGAATAGGATTTGTGGTGACACTTTGCTATGTATATTGTATTTTTGCAAGGAATTCTCTTTCAACCAAAACTAATTTAGTTCACATTCATAGTAACATATGTTTTGTATTAATATTTTTTTATACCATTTGAGTTGGCGAGATTAATAAGAAAGGGTAATTTTATTGTATTTTGATTATGGTTCTTTTCATGTTGGCTTAAAAGTGCTAAAAGAAATGTGACTCAATGTTAGGGTTTTTCATAAAGATGATACTGGAGATGCCTCCATTAATAACAGCACTTGTTCTCCATGCTTAGTAGAATGAGAATATTGTGTTCTGTTATGACTGCTAATGGCAGCCTGTCAGGATGGATGTTTAGGAAATCATGGGTCCTCTTAATATCAGGATTTGATTCTGGTGATGTGCAGACAGAGAACATCGTCAGCTCTAATCATCATCAGACATCACTTAGTTTCTGATTCAACTCATTACAGCAAATCAAGCTGCTCCTTACATGCAAACTGAATACAAATAAAATATATGTAGCAAGAATAAAAGAGAACATCTATCGTGAGTAAAGGATGTGGTCATTTTATTAGTACCTTCAGAAACGGTGTCATTGTGCAAATAATTGCTTGCAAGATTTACATTTAGATGAGATTATACGTAGACATATATGTGACCTCCATTATGAGTTCCAGCTTCACATGTTCCGTAGTATTATCTTGGCTCCAGTGATTACAGTTCTACAAAGGAAAAAGAAGAGTTAGAATTTACTTTCCTCATGCTTGGAAGACTTCTTAGAAATAAGGATGATAACAGATATTTAAAAATGTCTTATTTGTGAAGACTACTTCAGGTCATGGTATGGATAATGTTAGCTTATATACAGTACAACCAGAAATTATTGAGAGTTTAAAGATTGTAATTTTTTATATTTTTTTCACTCATTACTCACGTGTTAAATGTGAATATTAACATAACTCCAGATTCCAGATTCAAAGACAGGTAAACAGTTAGCATTTTGTCAAATCACCATGGGCAGCAATGCAGGCTTCAATGGGGCGGGGTATACTACTGATCAAAGAAGTTAGAAAGTCGTGGTCCATGCTGTCCCAATATCGGACCACCTCTTCTTTCAGCAATATTTGTCAGATTTTTCTTATTGACACTTTCCTTCAAAAGTCTCCAAACATTTTCTATTGGATTTAGGTCAGGGCTATAGCTTGGCCAATCTAATAATGTCATATTTTGGGTCAGAAACCAGGTCTGTGAATGCTTTGAACAATGTTTTGGGTCGTTGTCCTGCTGGAAAATCCAAAATTGTCCATAGAACACGTGAGCAGATGGAAGTAAATGTCCCTCGAGAATATCTGTGTACCGCTCACTGTTCATATTCCCTTCAAATACACAGAGGGGCATTGCCCCTAACACAGATATGCCACCCCACACGTTAAATTTCGGACTGTACTTTGGGCGCTGATACAAAGGTTTTTCAGTTTGTTTGGTCCAGAATTTCAGTGTATTAGGAAACAGCCACACAGAACTTTCATCTGAGAAAATCACATTGTCCCAGTTAAAATTTCTATGCTGTAAGCACCAGTTCAACCTTCGCTCCTTTTGTTCAGGTTTCATGATCGGTGATGGAATTCCTCAACTTTTCTGCCAACCCATTGCATGCAGCTCAGTTCTAATTGTCTCCTTACAGACAGCCACAGTTCGCTCTATCAATCATATCCAGCCTTAAGTTTTCTTAACTCCTTTGTTTGTTTTTAGAAACAAGAATACCAAGCCGCCTCCTGTCACCGACAGTTTTCTGGGCCTACCTACACCTCCCTGGTGCTCAATGCCATATCCATTTGCAATATTTTTCAAAACATGATAAACAGATGAAGGGATGATTGTTCTACTTGAAATCACTTTAGCTGATCTGATGTCCTTGTTATAATACTCTAAAATCAACTTCCTCTTCTCTAAATAATCCACACTGAGGATCACTGAAAATTTCGTCTGCTAGCAAGTAAACAAAGGGGGATAACTCTTCACAAACTAATGAAAAAGGATTAACAGAGTTGTCTTTCTTGAATGAACCCAAGTACTTGATGGCTGGTCAAGGTTGTTTATACTAGAAATCCAATTAAACATTCCTAAAATACTCAATAATAATTTCTGGTTATACTATATATGAAAGGTTTGTGAGAGGGGTATACAAAGTATGTGATCTAGACTACAAGTTGTCATACTTTCATTTTTGTTTAAGCTGCAGTGCCCGAGTGTGTTAGACAGCTGACTTTGTGTGCCTGTTGCCATTGTACAAAGGGTATCCTCCCAAAACTTCCACATCCCAAAACTTCCACAGCTTTTTAACAACATTTCTTGTTGACTGCACACTCTTTAGCATACTGATTACCTCAGTCTGTAATGGTTTAATCCATTAATTAGTAATGAATACTTTGTAATAAATTATATATTTTATTATTAGGGTTATTAACAAATTACACATCTTTTCTAGTTACATATAACAGTCTATGTGGAACATTTATGTAGAACTTATGTCCTATAGCGTCCAAGATTTCACCCGCACATTTGACAGTCATAACCCTGTCACTCTGTACTGTTGTTGGAGCAAGAGGACGGTTCCATCTCTGCTGTACTTCTGTCTTGATGCACCTGAAGAGTCTGGCGTAGAAAAACACGGCTGTCATATTGCTGTTACGGTGGATGATATTATATACCGTCACAGTGTCACTGCCATAACATGCAGTCTTTACCTGTATTTTACATGACAGGGACATCCATAGGGGATATAACCGTACAAAATGATCATAGCACTAAGGGGACCGACCATAATTCCGATCTCAAATGTCCAAGATTAGACTCATAGTGACGAAAAACATTATGTGCCAAAGCCTATTCGTCTCCCCTCACTGCCATCTTTGACGATTTGTATGCCGTTCTGGGATGCTGTGACTGCCGCGTTGGGATGCTATGTTTTGTACGCTCGGCAACCGTTCTCGCTCGCTCTGTAGCTGATACGCGAGTTTTGTTTCCATTTCAAACGATTAGTCTTCCATTACAGATGTATTGTTTCAGTTTTAGAGGATATTGTTGCAGTTTTGGTGATTTTTGTTCTGTTTTGGTGTATATGAGTTCAGTTTTGATGATTTGTTAACCGTTTGTATGGTAGGCCTGTTATCATAGACTTACGACTGCCATAGGACCAAGGTTGCTGTGCACAATGGCAGACTGGTGATTGGATGCCTGACTCCAAGAGTGTGGGTTCAAATCACAGATGGGCCCAAACCCCAAAAGTGCTAGAATCTGTACTTCACCAAGTAAATGCACTCACAAATATAACACATGTTGTATTTAAATTTATTGCAGATAACAATGGCTACTTACTTTAAAATATTGTGTGTGAGGTTATGATCATTACATGCGTGTAATGAGGACACTGGTTGCCAGGTGAAACTACTGTCAGCTCATGAGACTAAACTAAACATCACGGGAGCTTATATCAAGTTCCTACAATACCACTGCATTGGATGTATTTTATAGTTTTTCAGGTGGTGTCTAGTTTCTTCAGAATGCAGGTTTGATGAAGATTCTGTCTGAACCCAAAAATATATGTTGATTTAATTAAGTTGATATTGAATGTTTATGCTTCTCATTACAATTTGCTTTAAGATTTTGCTTTACTACCTCACTCCTGCTATTGTTTTGAATGTTATGATACAGTGTTGAAGTTGCTTCATATGGTGTTATGTTTTGTAGGTTGTATGGTTAGACCACAGAGCAAAACTGCTGACATTTGAAGATCGTAGAATCATTGCTGATGAAAGGATAAGCTTAGAGAGACCTTATGTGAAGGAATGGAACCTACACATCCGCAACGTGAAGCCCTCCGATCAGGGAACCTACTCCTGCCAGATCAACACCGATCCTGTGCAAGTTCGTCCAATCAGGCTTCATGTTCATGGTAAGTACAAAAAGAAGGCCGTACTCTTGGGAAATGGAATTGGCATATTTCAGATTTGTGTCATTTATCAGGTGTTTGGTTGTCAGAAGAAAATGAAATCTTCCCTGTAAGCTCAGAATGGATGAGGCTTTGTTGTTTTTGAATCACTAATGCCTAAGAAATATGGAGGGAGAGATGTCAAGACTGAACCACACTTGTTTATAACATTAGGAAAATAGCATTGAAAAAAGTACTGTTTTGTTTATGTTCTACAAACTATTTATTGCTTTGTTATCAGCAACAAAACAAATATTTATAAAAGTCTTCATTGTTTATCAAACTTAGATGAACAATTTGAAATGACATTATCACATTGACTACAAAATTGTTTTATTTATGATATAATTTCCTCTCTTTGGTAATCATAGGAAATGTTACTCTGAAGCTTCAACAAATTTATTATATCCTCGTACCTAGTGTCAGTTGTTTTAATTAACTGCAGGCATCTAAACTTGAAAATTGAATTTAAATTCTAAACTTGCAGATAGATTTGAAAAAGCTTGAAAATTTGTAAAAGTTTTAAATTTTCCTTCCCCTGGAAGACATGGAAATACCTTGTAATACCTTAATTTGAAGTATTTTCATATAGTGATGTATGACACAGCAAGAGACACAGCAATACCTGATAGTACAACATTACAACATCTAGCAATGTACCATTAAACAATTTTGTATTATGGAGAGGAGCATGTCTGATATTATTCAACAAAATAGATGAAAAGGTGACTTTGTGTGCCAGCTTTTAAGTTTCTTAAATATCTAATGTTTTTGTTTTGACATAAGAAGTGACAGTCAAAACATGCTTTGATGCATTTTCAAAGAGTTCTCTTTCAAATCTACATAAAGAAAAAACATCTCTCTGCACACTGGGATCTCAGCATTACAATTGGCTTAAGTCTAGTATGTGGAAAATAGACCATAATCCTTTTCTTGATGATGAATAAAGGATATTATTTTAGTCATGTATCATAAAAAATGTATTCCAACTTCCTGGTTTTGATACAGTATGGTTATGAGGTAAACATGTTGTATAACAACTTTCTACTAACACAGGTAACTGTAAATGTCACTGTTAGCAAATGTAATGGAACTTCATGGCATGTTCTCTCATGACATACGTGCACCATGGACAAGTGCTACTATTGTACTGAACAAAATGTATTTCACATCGATTTGCATGATTGCTTTGTTACCAGGACTGAGAAAATTCTACACGAAGATTGTTAATGAGATCTAATGCTGCCCTATAACAAGCTGAGAGTCTTAGTGTTGACTTTGATAAGTAGTTCTAAGGCACTCAAATTTTGATTTAAGAAAGCAAAATGTCAAACGATGAAAAAGTTTATTTTTGGTGAATTGAAAGGAATCGATTGGCCATTACTTTAATGCCGGGAAATAGAGTCCTTACTGAGATCACTTAGGAATCTGACCCATTCAAGGAAAGGTTATTTGGCCACAGTTACTTCCCTTTAATTCAATTTTCAAAGATGTAGTAATTAAGTTAATTCAGTCACAGTTGGTTTAGAATCAATATGCGTAAAAAGAAGATTCAAGAGAGCTATGAAAGCCAGTGTAGTTAATTAGATTGTTACCATTAAATGTCAAAATCTGTGCCATTTAGGAGCAATATAGTGTCTCTCTGACAATACTTGTGAAGTGTTTTTATGAGGGGTCCTGTCTATTCTGTACTCCAGGAGAAAAAACATTCTGTTGTGTTGAATTGGGATCAGTTACTTAATGGTTTTTAGTTTTCTATTGGGAAATGTGAAGAACTATTTTGTGTTGCTAGAATGTGTGCAAGGGAAAGAAGATCGACCCCAGCATACTGGCAACACACTGTGAATACAAACAAACACGAAAATCAAAATTTGCTAAAACATTTTGCCGTCATGCAGTCTTGTGGATTGTTTTAAATGAATGTTGATTATGTGTACATTTTAAATAATACTATCTTTAAATCTGTGTTAAATGTCGGACTCAAGAAAATCATAGCCCTTTTGTGCAAAGTTCCTATTCACAGTACATTTGAATGATCTATTCAAATTTGAAGGAGCTGATTAAATGAACGGGCTGGAGTGATTCATCCCTTTGAGTTTTCCAATTTCTGATTAACCTGTACTCGGGAATTTCATTGCCCATAAAGTTCCCTCCTTTCACTGCGAGTCTCATTTATGTCCTGGGATATCGTTTATGGATCGTATTCATTATTGGTGTTAGTGTTTAATCTATGTTGTGCTGCTTTGAGAAAAAAAGAATCAATTACTTGTCGAGAACAGCATTATGTAACCATCACAAAGTATTTAATCGTACAAGACCTTTTGTCAACACAAACAAGGGTCTCCAACAGCAATGAATGGCGGCATCTTCACATAGAAGCCTATTTCAATAAGAACAAATATTGACCATTTCAAGTGATTTTTCTGATAACTTGCGTTGGTCTGGCTTAAGACAAAGTGGGAAACAAATTCCAGATCGGATTAACACGGAGAATCACCCGTTTCCTCCCATCACTCAAGCCCATCTCCTGTGTGAAAGGCAGATGAAATAAAATCAGCGACGGCAAATGTACTTATAGTGACCAGTCTGGTCAGAACCCATAGTTCTAAAATTAGGGTAAATAACTGCTACCAATTTATTGATTTCAAAAGTTTTCTGGATAAACCAATTTTGTTTTGATAGTCTTTGGCCCTTCCTAGTTGATTGGTCTGTCATTGTAACACTGATTCGGCGTCGACATGGCGTAGCAGCCATGAATTTCTCATCATAGCCATTGTTGACTTATGGCCTTATATCATCTTCCAGAAATTCCTCCCCTTGAGTTATCAGAGGGGAGTCTCTGTAATTATTTTCCTCCCTGCCCGAGTTGCATGTCTGAGAAACGGCAGTTTGCTCCTCTGGAGAAAACTATCATTATTATAACATCAAGTTAACATCAGAATAAACACTTTCAGAAGTTAGCAGGAGCTGAAGTGAATTTGACATTATTTGTGTAATATTAATATTGTATGCGACTATAAAGCTCACACTTAGAAAATTTGATTTATCCTTGTATTTTTTTGTTGCTTGTTTTGTTACAGGCCCTTGGCCGTTTAGGTGCAATAGAAGGGTGATAGGTTATGGAATTATGGACATGGTGCACTTTATAGTGAATATTTCATTTCAGCTGCAAACACCCCTTTTTTGTTTTAGCGAGCACAATGTACAAAGAAACTTGTCCATCTATTTTTTTTCATGTTCAGAATTAGTTTGAAAATTCAATAACTGTTTGTGGTGTTTCCTTGCTCTGCTGAATCAACAAGGATATTAAAGTTGATACTGGTATTATCTAATAGCCCCTATCCTTAACACCAGGAATTCGCTAAGAACATGGTTTTACATGCATGAATGTTTCTTATAGCCAGAACAGCAAGATGGTGTTGGCGGTAACTTTCAGACAGATTTACAAGAAGAAAAATACTAGAAATCATCTGATATTCCTTTTGAAGAAATATATTTCTTCCTCTGTATGTGAACAACAAGGACTTGGAACCATGATGTCGATGGCTCCCACTTTGTAGGTTATGTCGTGTCGGCTAGTGCATGGTGAATCTGGTTATCGGACAATTTAAGGCGTATTTACTGGAACACACTCCCAGAGTTACTGTTACTGTCAGTATGTGTGATAGAAGAGCTGTTTAGTGGCCATGGAAAAGAAATTAAAGGTTGTCATCAATGCAGCAGAAGGCTTCCAGACCTAGATTAGCTTGTGACAAATTTATGCCTTGCACACCACTCAAACTTTGTTTCCTCACTGTGAAAGATTCAGAAATTCACAGCGTGTATAGAAAAAGAGAACAGTTTGGTTTCTTGACTACTTTCATCTGAAACTTGACATTTGTGTCACTATTCGAAGATAATCTTGGATTTTATTGAAATATGTATTACCAGCTAAAGGTTATGGAAATCACATGCAATTGGTTTGCTTCGTCCATGAATATGTAACACAGAATATGTTTTTGAGACATCATTACTTCCATGTTATACTGATTTCATGACTACTGTCAGCCATTTGTTTTTCCTAGGCAAACAGTTGGAATTCATGAATTCCAACTCGGACTTCATAAAATTGGTGCAATATACGGATGATCAACTGACTTCTTTATTCATATGCTGTTGATAGTTTGCGCTGCATGGCATTGGTCGGAATGATAGTTTCATTTCATTGAAAGCTGACTCAATACTTCTTTGATGGTGACTCAAAATTTTGTTGACGGATGACTCAAAATTCAATAACGAATGACCTATTTGGGCTTTCCTGAGATGAATTAACATCCTTTAAGGTAATCATGTGACAATGTAACATTTGAAAATGAGTTACAAGAATTGCACCTGTATTTGAAGCAGTTTTAACCCACTGTCACTCATGTTCAACATGCACTTTGAAGTTGAATCAAACTCAAAACACATCACGCTCACAGATACACTTCCATTTTGAATTCTACAGGAAATTCTATGATATCAGCCACTGTCATTTTATGCAAATCAAAACTACTCAGAAGAACCTTCTTAGAAAACTATATATGTGTATTCAAATTTTATGCTGTGGCATTTTATGCTATCTTCTGAGATCCATTTACCTATTTATTTCATATCTGATTCACACTTTTCAGGATATGCATTTAAAGGGCATTCTAGCAAGAGTTTAGACTCTTAAGGTACATACATTAAAATGATTTTTTTTTATTCAGCAGAATTTTTTTTTATTTACAAAATTATCAGTTGCCATTCCATCTGACTTCATTATGATGGACAACATAGAAACAATACACAGATTGTAAGTTTGTTTGCGTTTTAAGATAAAATATTGTGTATGTAAATACAATCCCTGAATGAATCCTTGAAGAGACCTATGAATATCTGTGATAGAAACCATCTTCAGGAGCCGATGCATGTCGTAGGCATCCACTGTTATGGGATCATGT